GGGCCTACACGCCCTTTTCTAGTCCTCCTGACTCCACTGGAACTTGTTTGGCGTTGGAAGATAGAACAGATGTTGCGATATCTGCCGCCAAAATAGCCCCAGTCAGACGGAAATCACAACTGCGCCTCTAGTGACTGGCAGTCGTCTTCACTTGTGAGGTATGATACACAATATTTTGCTCCACGGGTCATAAGCACAAGCAGGGCAATTGGAATTGGAAAGAGAGCTAATCTTTATAAAAATAGTCATCCCACGAAATATAATTTGATAGAAAACATTCTTTGGGAAACAGGAACAAACTTTATTGTCAGAAGGACATTACCAGCGAAGACATGGGCCACTAGGAAGGCCTTTTCTGCCTTGTTAGGCGTCATCGGCTAGTGATACCCAACCACATTGTGGCCGCTGAAATTGTTGCCACACCGAGATTTGAACTCGCGATCTCTCCCTTCAGGGCGAACGTCCTAAGGCCACACCGAGATTTGAACTCGCGATCTCTCCCGTCAGGGCAAACGTCCTAACAGTTGAGCTACGAGCTCACGGTCTTTTCCGGTATTAGATCGGAAATATGCAGTTAATTACAGTAAATTATTGTAAATTTTCGACGCTGGCACACCAGGTCGTCTTCTGAAGTGAGGGAAATGTGTGAAGAGCAGTGCGCATTTTTAAACGTGCCAAATAAATCTATAATGATTCATCATCCATGGTCAATAGAAGGCTCTGGTGATTGGCGCTTTTTCCAGGCTTTTTTGAGATTGGTATACATTGAATCCAAATCAGCGTGCCTTTCCTATATGGCCTTTCTTATATGGGCAGGAACCTACTATGCGTGTTTGGTCTCATGCAAACTTGTGCCCACTTTCAAGCAAATGCATGGCGACTTTTGACAGCTGGTCGCGCCTCTTTATTGCTAATTGATGTTCGTGTATGCGTGTAAAGGCGGACCTTCCTGTTTGTCCGCAATAAATTGCATCACGGTCGCCGCAAGGAATTTTATAAACAAACTTTTTGTGTTCAAATAGCCAACCCTATACTAAGGGTGCATAAGCTGATTTTAAAGTGTGGTCGGTGCTCTGTGCGCCACTTGGATTTGGTACTTCCAATCGCCGTACGGTCCCAATTTTCATTCTTTGCTGGGCGGGTGGGATCCTGGTTTGTAAATGTATCCATTGCATACCGCTGTCGGGCCTTCCGCAGTGCTATTTAACCCCCACTTTTGTCGGCAACTCTCACAATCTGTAGCAGTCACTAAGGAGGCGGAACGAGCGTCACTGATTCAACTACAAACTTTTGGTTCTCAAGTCCGGACTTGAAAAAGAAAACTTTTCGAGGGCAACGTACCGACACCACAGCTTCCGAGATACCATCTGGGCTGTTGGAAAAATGTCCTCAAGTTACTACAATCTTATTTCAAGTAATTCTAGGTAGAATACAATTGTTACCAAAGTCACAGGAGTCTTGAGTGGTCAATTCTGGCTTAATAGTAATCGTTAGCTAGCTATATCCAACCCCAGGCCTTTATAACCCTTGTGCTTTGAATTCGCAACTGTCTAATTATTGAACTATGGGCTGGTTGCCCTTTCAGTTGCTTAATTTTAGCGAGGGAAATATATGTTTTTATGTAGGAGATAAATTTGTCATTTAAAGATATATTATGCTATCAAGCATACTTTTACCGAGAGAGACGAGGGACACTGGAATGGCTGTTTCCGGCTTACTAGACGTGTCCAACTCCAGGTTGTAAAACCCTTAATTATTTCCCTAGTACCTAAACCACTTTGAATGACCCGCTTGATAAGTCTTTGATCTTGCGCGGAGGGTCTGATGTTCCAAAAAGACATATTATCGAAGGAGTTTCAAGTTTCCTGTAAATACTAGCCGAGTTGTAGGAGGGAGGACTTAGCAGGACAGGGGAACAGGAACCGTCCGCAATACGTCTGGCTTTACGTCAAATTCCGGAAAATTTAAATTGAGGGGTAAGGTAGGGATAAGGATCAAGTTTTGGATACTGTTTGAAGTTGCAATTAAGGTTAGGGTTAGGGTCAAGACTACGTTAGGGGGTCAAGGTGTGGGTTCGTGTTAATTGTACGCTTTAGGTTTCGGTTGGAGTTCAGATGCGGTTATTGGCGTGAGGCTCCAACTCGTTCCCTTCTCGTTTGAGTGCACTCTCAGTGACAGTCGCAGGCTAGAGTTACATTTTACTTTTATGTCAGAGTTAAGATAGAGAAATGTGTACCCCCATTTAAAGTGTATCGCAAGGCCACCTACTTGACATGGGTGGGCGGTGTTTCTCTTCCTGTTAAGCTGGTCATACAAGTTCCGCTGGAGATGTTGCCCAGTCCGTTCCATCCGGACACACACTGTGTGTTCTTCGAGTCCAGCCCTTTTCACCGCCTGTAGCGTTAAGGGTAAGAGGAAGTCGAAACCAATTAGACGCTTACATGAGAAAAGCAGGCATTGAGTCAGAACATGATGAAGGAATGCGGCCCTCTGTTTGGGTGGGTGGAAACAGAGTGCCCTGCGTG